GCGCCTGGGCACAGAATTTGAGGGGGTACCGACTCTCAGGGTCGGAATGCCTTCTTACAGTCTGCACCCTTAAGTGCCTCACCCGACCGGGCTCGTCCCTGTGTGAGAGCCACCGCCCCACCCTGTCCCACTGCACACGGGGCTCGTTACCCAGACCTTCGCAAAGTTGGCTCCGGCTGCTGTTCAGGCCTCCACTGGGCCGTAACCTACCCGGAACGGCTATATTTCATCTCCAGTCAGCTGTATTTCTTCACAGTAGTTATTAACTGTTAACTTATTTATTGTCTCTTCCTCCTTACAAATATAAGATTCCCTGTGTGAGAGCCACCGCCCCATCCTGTCCCACTGCACACGGGGCTCGTTACCCAGACCTTCGCAAAGTTGGCTCCGGCTGCTGTTCAGGCCTCCACTGGGCCGTAACCTACCCGGAACGGCTATATTTCATCTCCAGTCAGCTGTATTTCTTCACAGTAGTTATTAACTGTTAACTTATTTATTGTCTCTTCCTCCTTACAAATATAAGATCCGTGAGAAGAGTAACCTGCGTGTCCTGTTCATTACCGTCTCTCTGGTGCCGACAACAGCACCTGGCACATGGTAGGCACTCAGCAATTATTTGCCAAATGTGTAGAATGGGGGGTATAATTAAACACAGCCTCACTTCACTCTGGGCCTTTAGGGGGTCTTCTCTCTCCTCTGGCAGCTGCATTTTTAAAGAGATTGCATCAAAAAAAAAAAAAAATCCATATCCGTCTGATCATTTCACTCCCACAGCTACTTTTGTTCTGATCACCGTGCAATCGCATATACCCTTTGCCTACCACTATCGCTGTCGGGGACACAGGAACTTAACTTACTCTGTGTGGGAACCTATGACATCAGATGTCTGATGATGCTGATGATGAGGGTCTCTGACCTCAAAAGAAAACTATAAAAATAAAATGGAGCTGACATACAGAACAGTCTATAAAATAAAAACATACAAACACTTAACCGTCAGAGCCCTGAAGAATAAGACAGTCTAATAGAGACCAAGTTTTCGGGACACTGAGCGTTTAACCTCTGGACACTAGCACTTTTTTTTATTTTTTATTTTTTTTACTTTAACCATTTAAAATGGAAATATTTCAAAATTACACACTTCCTGCCTTCTTTGGCAAAGTATACCTGATTTCATTTAGCTTTTCTCTCTGTAAATGAAAGTCATTATAAGCCAATTATTGTAGGGAGGCAGAGAAAGTGAAAATATTCGAGAAATCAGGATGGTTGGTAATAACCGCAGATGACGATGAGGACATTCACTAGCATTTACCACGGGCGAGTGTCAGCTTAATAAACTCTCACAGGAACGCTGACAGTTCTCGTTATCCCTATTTTGCCCAGAAAAGGGTAACTTTCTCAAAGTCACACAGCTATTAAGTGACGAGACCAGAACATGAACCAGGCAGGCTCATTCCAGAATCTAAGTGTTAGTCACAATGCTTGACTGCTCCTGGGCAGGTGAGCAGGTGGCCTGTAGGAGGGGACAGGAGCGAAAGCTGAAGACTTGTTAAAAGAAAGGGTGGGGGAGAGGGGGATGGCTGTAAATTTGCAGTTTTAAGTAAAAAAGTTAACTATTAACGATGATATCTATAAACTGCATTTTAAACTTCATGACTATAACTGTTCTGTAATTAATTTTAATGTTCTTTTTTGAAGGGAACGCCTACTGTAAATAGACTCCAAAGGACTAACTGCTAAATAACACACATTAATGTAACGACAGACGTAGACACCGCACCGCCGCGCATGCGCGCATCGGGCCAGGAGGACGCACCCCAGGCGCGGAATCCGTTCCGCCATCCCCGTCACGCCAGCAATGATGTTGCTGTGGGAGATCATGACGCCCTTGGGCAGCCCCGTGGAGCCGCTGGTGTACATGATTACTGCGATGTCTGTCGGCGCTGGTTTGCTCTGAGGTCTGTTATCTGTATCAGAGGAAAAAAACGCACTTCTAAGAAATTTAGCCATATCGCCAATTTTTCATAATCATTTATTTGTTAACTCAATGCAACAACTATTAATTGTAATCATACAAACGTCAGCAAAACAGATCAAGTCCCTGCATATAAGGGACATATATTCTCTTGAGACAGACAAGCATATAAACCTATAATATAGTAAGAGCTATGAAGAAAAATGAAGCAAGACAAGGTGAAAAGATGAGAGAAGCTATTTAGATGGAAAAGCCAGGAAAGGCCTTTCTGTAGAGTTGCTATTTTAGTGAAGACCTGGGTAAAGTGAGAAAGTGGAAAATAAGCAAGTGCGAAGGCCCTGAGGTAAGACTGTGCTTGGCACTGGTCCAGACCAGCGAGCAGTTTGGGGGGGACAGTGAGAAAGAGGGGGAAGTGGCAGGAAATGAAGGCCGCGACCACCTCATGTAGAGCCTGAGGCCACGCTAAGGACTTCAGACTTCACTACGGGGTGGAAAGCACCGTTGTTTCAAAGAGGGGCTTGCCCTCATCTGTGACAGGATCACTTGGGCTGCCGTGTGGCTACCTAACTTAAGAAAGGAAGGAAAGGAGGTAGGGAGGCAAAAGGCTATGCCAGCAATTCAACTAAAACACAGGGTGGCTGGACTAGGGTACCCAGGCATTTGTAGAAATTGTCTCTGCCACCCAGTGGTAAAGTTAACTTGGCTACACTCAAAATCCTGGATTAATGTCCTCCATGTGCACATGCCTAAGGACAGTGGCCAACACCCTACCGAGGTGACACAGTACACAAAGAGAAGTGGGGTCTGGATGGTACTGTTGATCTGCCTGAATTAATCTTGGAACTACCCAAGGCGAGGCAGCCCCTTGCAACCCCTGTGTGGTCTGAGCTGGTCCTGCTCGTGGCTCCTGCCTCACCAAGACCTCCTTTCCCTTGGCTTCCGTGAGCTACACACACTTTCTTTCTTCCTCTCTGACCCGTCCTCGGTGGCCTCTGGAGGCACCATCCTCTGTGGGTGGCCTCATCTACTCCACAGCTATAATGAGAACCTAACTGCTTCCAACTGCTAAATCTCTTAACTCCAAACTTAACTCTAGAGTACCAGACTTGTGGAGGCCACTCCCCAACAGATATCAACATCTGAATGTTCCACCGACACCTAACATTCAAGATGCTCCAAATTAATGTCAGCGTAGCCCCGTTCCCGAGCTGAGCCAACATGTACTTCTAATTCATCACCACGTTTCCAACTGTAAAGGAAAAACAGCCCCAGCACCCCAGTGGCTGTTTGCGAGAGCCCTAAACTCCAGCGTGCTAACAATTTTTAGACACTATTTGAAAGTAGGAACTTCCAGAGTCACAGGCCTCAGTGTGCTGGTTGGAGGATGAAACCTTGCCCCCTCTGGAAAAGGCAGCGTTGGAGCAGGGTTACAGAAGAGGAGGGGTCTAAGGCTCGCCTCTCGATCTGTTAACACAGATGATTCACAGAGGCCAAGTTTAATGGCATCATTTATGAAGCTAAGTTCAAATTGTTTAAAACCATTAAAACAAGAAAACAGAGAAACTGTATAATGTAAAGCGCATTTTAAACTAATGTCAAATAAATGCTACTTTTAGAACATTCATATATTGTTTGTATTTTTCCTTAAATCTCTTTAAAGGGTAGATGTAAGTGTACCTAAAATGACCTTATACTTCCCCAAGTGATGGTGAGGAAAACTGGTAAGTCCCTTGACTTTAACTTTAGGATCAAATATTTGGAATGAATCTGGAGAACATGGTCACCACAGAACATATCCAGGGAACTGGGGAGCTGTGACATACCCATGCTGGCCTTGGCTCCCAGAGCCTGCACTGCGGCCATGGTGTGTACGATGACGCCCTTGGGGAACTCAGACCAGGTTGGTGGCTTGCCATCGACAGTGACGATGTGCCGCAGACGTGGGACTAAAGAAACTATGTCCTGGAGAAACACAAGCATTCGTCATGTTCTTCATCATTCTTCGTGAAACTGCTCAGCAAATAATCCAGGACACAAGAAAGGTAGTTTATCGTATTTACTGAATTATTAATTTCTTGCCTCAAAAAAGGAAGGAGGGGTACGCTGGTATAAGTATCACTTTTTTAAGATGGAGAAATAAATATTGGTCTGAAATTTCAATTACTACTTTATAGCATTAGATTTATTGTGTGTACCTTGTTCTTCAGTAAATCTTTTATTTCCTCACAAAATGGGCATGTAAATATAGGCTGCCCAAACTATGTGGCCAAATCTCTCACGTTTGTAAGAGGCTAATAAATAAATAATAAAGTACAGGGGAAAGGGGAAGGAATTCACTTATAAACTTGTAAATTTAAAAAAAAAAAAAATCAGAAGTTATTTTCATGGGCGTTGTCTAGAGACTGCAGAAACCCCTTTTATCTACAGTTTCATAGTCTCCTTTTTCCTTTAAAAAATTCTAAAAACTCATAACCACTCAATGCTTCAGTAAGATAAATGAATTACTAGCTTAAAAATAAACCTTCAAAATTACAAATTTATTGAAAACAGAGTAGAAAATAGATGAGCACAGTAAAGAAAAGTTATAATCATTACACCGTAGACATAGGCATATGACCAGTCTGTTAACTGTCTGCACTCCTTACACATAATTACATACGAAATCCACTTTTTCTTTTCTAAAGGAAAGTAATAAAATTATGATATTCCTAAAAGTTTATA